TTGGCATTTTTATTGTTTTCTCTTACACTCTCCCCAGGTTTATTGCAGTTTCTAATTTAAGCTCAGTGTGATAGCCAGAAACTAGACAACTTCATTTTCAAGAGGATTTCTCTGTGTGCACTGGCCCTGAAGCTTAGGGTCAGTGGTTTTGTGAACCACAAAAAATATATATATAATGAAACTTTCAAGCAAAAAACTTATATAGTTTTATTGGACTTTTTGAATATATCCACCCCTGTGGTAAAAGATGATTATTCTCCTAGGAAACTACTTAAAAACAAAAAAATACAAACGATAACATTCCTAGTCTTTCTCTGTACATGACATATCTATATCATATATATTAAGTGGTTTGCAAGGTAAAATATATATATTTGTTATAGAACATGGAAGGAGTCCATTTTGCTAAGAGTAGTTTATAAAATGGAAGGAAGTGTTTTCCAATGGTATGGAAAATGCATAGACTTACGGAGTCTGGAAGGATTTGTAAAAACCACTGGTCCCAGTGGTTTTAAGGTACGGTCCTCAATCCTAGGTCCTGTGGGGGCACTTCCAGGGGCATTGCTGGACAGGGAATGGTGGGGAAGCCCCCTTGCTCCAAACAAAATAAATCTGCTTTCATTTCCTCTGCACGTCAGACTTGTTTTATAAAGAACCACCTTTCCTACAGCTAAAACTACCCAGGTGATTTCTGAACACCTTTTGTAGATAGATTAATAATAAACTCAGATAAACACATAGGTCTATGTGGTTCCTGATGTTGTTACGATCCTAATGTGTAAGTACAGTAAAGTGTATTTAGGTAATTGTTATTGGTGGAACAATGTACATAGGAGACCCAATGTTGTATTTGAAATTAGAATTTTCTGAAAGTATTCTTTCACTCCAGGGGCGGACACAGGGAATGCATTTGTCATTGAGTATTAAATCTGATGGCAATAGAATTATTGAAAGTCTTTGTAAAGATGGGTGCCTGGGTGGCTCAGTTGGTTAAGCGACTGCCTTCAGCTCAGGTCATGATCCTGGAGTCCCTGGATCGAGTCCCGCATCGGGCTCCCTGCTCGGCGGGGAGTCTGCTTCTCCCTCTGACCCTCCTCCCTCTCATGCTCTCTCTCTCTATCTCATTCTCTCTCTCTCAAATAAATAAATAAAATCTTTAGAAAAAAAAAAAAGAAAGTCTTTGTAAAGAGATAATTTTAGGTTTGAATATTGTGACAGCAGGTGGAGCTAGTAGTAGAAACTATTTCTAGGCCACTTAAAGAGCAGCAAGGTGTATAAAACTTAGCAAACCATTATGCGTTGGCTTTGGAAAGTGGTTGTACTACTGGAGGGTGAGAGCCAAGCTGAATGAAACTTTACCCTTTGTGGAAAAGGGGCTTGCACTTGGATATGTGTTGCCATGCAAGATAAGACAAGTTAAGGGCATGGGGGTGGAGGGAGCAGTGGGGATACGTTTTCATGGCTTAATATTACTTGATGACCCTTGGAATATTGACTTTAAAAAATAAGGCATATGATCCTGTGGGAAAATAGTGTACAAGAACTTGATTACATATATGAAGTTATTGTGTTATTAGATTGTGGTCCTTTTTAAGTGGTTGTAAACATTCTGTTGAAATCCACATTTTCTCCTAGGAAAAACTAAAGAACATTTGCTTTTTATCCCACAGGCTTCTGAAATAAAGACCTAACTGCTTTATAGCTCCAAATACCAATAAGTTTTCTGAATATGTAATTTAGAAGATATTACTACTCATGTACTTCTGTGTGTGTGTGTGTGTGAATCACACATTGAACCATGGAATTGTCCTGTTTTTGTTTTTTTTTTTTATCATTTCCCTAAATCAGATGCAATGATAAGTAAAGAGCAAATATTATGCATGCATTTCCTTTTTCTCTGAATTTCGTTTGTTTTTTTACTATGTCATATGTATTAAGAAACTGGGGTTTCTAAAATGATGGTTTATTTTGCTGGCTGGGTGAATAGAAAGTAACCTTCTTTTGGCATTAGTTTTACAGAGTTATGAGATCATTTAAAACACACATTTTAATGCTTTTTGCTGACAACTAGAAATAAACATTTTCCTATTACTTTATTTACTTACTCAGCAAACATGTACTGCATGCCTACTATGTGTACTAGTATTATACCAAAACTGGGGATACAATTTTAAACCACATACAGTGCTTCCCCTCAGTGCTTCTCAGGCAGACGTGTGATCAGATAATTTCCATAGGACCTAATAGATTCAAAAAGAAAATCACTTGTGTTATGAACAGAGGGCTGTTGGGTCACAGAAAAGGGACTCAACTGGGAGAAATCAGGGAAGACTTGCACTGGTTGCATAGGGAAGGAGAGGTAAACTTTCAGTAGAAGAAAAAGGAGAAGCGCATTCCAGGCAATGTGCCCAAAGGTATGAAAGGGTCTGTTGCCTTGGGGAAGCCTCAGGAAGTTTGCTCGGGAGGCCAGAAAAGTAGACGGGGCAAGATGGTAAAGGGTCTCGTAGGGCATGCCGAGATCAGTGAATATATTATTCAGGGATTTCAACTAATCTAGATGCTATCTAATTGATGAGTTTTTGGTGTTCATGAAAGTAAACAGATTTGAACCTGTAGGAACGTGGCATGACTAGACTTAAATTTTATCCTCAACAAGAAGTCTCGATATGTCCTCTGGTCTCAAAAGTGCCGAGATGAGAACAGAGCTGCATCCCTGCATATCTTTAGCTGTGATGGGAGGAAAGGCTGCATGCACTAATTCCATACAACACACATTTACCGAGCACGTGCCAGGCACTCTGGGAAGCACTTGGGAGGTGTGCCCTCTTGCTCAGGGTAGATGCAGCTGCCTTCTTGACTTTTTTTCCACTTCCTGGAATGTTCTTCTTCCTCACCTTTAGCCAGCTGGTACCTTCTTGTCATAGGTCTTATCTTAAATATTCCCTCTACTTAGAGAGCACTCCATCAGAATCTACTCTGCAGGAGGATTCCTGTGATCCTTTTATAACCTCCCGTTTTCTCCCTCATCCACGTGCCGTGATTTATAATTACGTGTCCATGTGCAGTTGAAACTGTGCAATCACTGTCTCCCCCACTAGACCAGTAACTCCCTTGGGACTGGAATTATGTGTGTTCTTTTTTCCCCTCTCTTTCCAGGGCTCAATACTGTGTGGCACACAGTGGGTCCTAAAGAGTCACAAAAGGAGCATTTAAACATAAAGATAGATTGACTTTTAAAGTTTCTAAACCTTTAACTACAAATAAGAAAACCTTAGGAAATAAAACTATTTTTAGTAAACTATGATTGATATATGACTTTATATTAGTTTAAGGTGTTTAACAAAATGATTCCTTATGTGTGTGTATTGCAAAATGATCACCACAATAAGTCTAGTTACCACCTGTGGTCATACAGATGTTACAAAATTGTTTTTTCTTATGATGAGAACTTTCAAGATCTATTCGCTTAGTAACTTAAAATATACAATACATTATTGTTGACTATTGACTATAGTCACCATGCTGTATGTTATATTCCCATGACCTATTTATTTTATAACTGGAAGTTTATACCTCTTGATCCCCTTCACTCATTTTGCCCACTCCCTCCCCCCCCGTAGTTACTGATCTGTTCTCTGTATCTCTCAAGTTTTGTTTTGTTTATTCATTTGTTTTGTTTTTTATATGTGGTATCATATGTTATTTTTCTCTGACTTATTTCACTTAGCATAATACCCTCCAGGTCCATCCATGTTGTGGAGAATTGCAAGATCTCATTCCTTTTTATGGCTGAGTAGTATTCCATTGTGTGTGTGTGTGTGTGTGTGTGTATCACATCTTCTTTAGCCATTCATCCATCAATGGACACTTAGGTTGCTTCCATATCTTGGCTAGTATAAATAACGCTGCAGTGAACATGAGGGTGCAGATATCTTTTCAGATTACTGTTTTTGTTTTCTTTGCGTAAATACCCAGATGGGGAATTGCTGGATCAGATGGTAGTTCTGTTAATTCTGTTTTCCATAGTGGCTGCACCGGTTTACATTCCTACCAACATTGCACGAAGTTCCCTTAAGAAAACTATTTTCTATGTTATTTTTTAAAACCCGTTGCAACTATTTTCGGAAAGGTATACAGCTCAGTATTACCTCACCAAAAATGCAAGTTCTTAAAAATTAGCACGTGGTTATTGTATGACTTGGGGCTATTTTTAAAAATAGTGATCCATTTAGTAATGGAAATTCTGAGTTACTAAAATGAACTGCTCTTTTTATATTTTGGGGGCTCAGTTCACTAAAATGTTTAAATTCTTGACTCTACTCTTTAAACCTACTACAAAGATCACATTAGAATTCATTTTAATAGACATTGTAAGCACAGTATCCAACCTCATATGATCATGCTGGGCTTTTTTATTATGAGAATCACAGGAAGCAGAGCCCGAGGCTGCAGAGTAGTGGCGGGGCGTACCCAAGGCTGGGGACGATGCCAGCTCTATTGTTTATGGAATATTCTCTCCACCTTTATCTCTGGTGTGCAATTGGTATTGACTTTTGAGACGCTACTTCTTCGTCCCGATCTCCCGGTTGGAAAAAAAAAAAACCCACCATAATGACATCTGGCTAGGAAAAAAAGAATCAAAGGACCATAAGGAAAGAAAAATTAGGACACTTTGTTTAATAAGTAGTTTCGGGCCTGTCTGTTACATCTTTTAGAAGGAAGAGTGTTACATTTTTTGAGGTCACCATTCCTTTATCCCCTGGAAAAGCTCAGTGAACTCCAACAGTGCCTATTGTTTCTGCTATTGATTGCTAGGGTTGGGTCTATTTAGCATTTTGCAAAATGTCTTTTCAACTTTATAGATCTTTAAGAATATGCACTGTTCATCAAAACTAAGATAAAATTTGTTCATGATATGTATCACTTTTCATTTATATTTTTGTTTTTTTCTTAAAGAGGAAGATGGTCACTTTTGGTAAATTGTTTTTTCTAACCTTTAGGTATATTGCTTGAGGAGTTTTTAAATATTGTTAGAAAAAAGAAGGAAGTTCAACTCCATCGGAATGAAATAAGACACATCTTCACAGCTTTTGACAGGCACTGTAAGTATCTTTAAATTGTTTTGATATAAAAAAATTGCTATTAAGAAAATTTGCTATGTACTCTCAGTAAATAAAATAATCAATATACTTGGAAGATTATTTTACTGTATTCATTAGCTATTACCTAGATGTTGGTGTGAATTTTTTTTCTCTATCACAGTCTTGAACTCTTGACATTTACCATGGATAAAATAATATTTAGAGTTATGTAATTGTACTTAGGATTTGCCTACACTGTAATGGGAATAGCAAAAGGGCTGGCCACATGGGGTTATAAGTCATGAGCCACCTACAAAGGTGTGGGGAACCGTAAGGCCTTTTCCTTTGACTCCTACTTTGACCCACACTTTCTCACACTGGATATAGCCGAGAGAAGTGGCTTTGAACTCCCTGTGCTGCATAGATCACACACAGGATGGAAAGACTCATGGAGTCCAGGGTCAGCATCTTTGCTGCTGTGATGTTTTCCCTCTAAATATTCATATATTATAATTCTAATGCCAAGCAAGAAAAAAAGTGAATTTTGAAGAATAAATTGTTTTGGCAATTCACAAGGACTTGAAGCCTAATGCCATTATGGCAGTGTGTGTCTGCAGTCCATTCCCTGGCACTCAGAGAATCAGCTAATGACCTGTGAGATCATCTGGGCCTGCACTGAAGGAGAGTGGTGGTTGATTCTTAAATTCTTCTGATGAGACAATCTTAGATTACCTTATATTTACTGCTTTTCTTCGAGTAAGAAAGTTTCACACAAATATGGCTGAGATAGCAGTTCATAGGGTTTATAGAAGTAAGTGAATGTTTTATATTTTCATGTCAAATAGATCGTGGGTATTTAACTTTGGAAGATTTCAAGAAAGCATTTAGGCAGGTGGCTCCCAAGTTATCAGAAAGGACTGTTCTGGACGTATTCAGGTAAGGCACCAAAATCTTTATATACACCCACCCCTCGATTTACCATTTGCTTTTACAAGTTTTCAGCCTTATGGAGAACACTTATGTATGCAGATTTTTCCATCTGTACCCTTGATAGTGGAGTGCTTGCACACCAGGGAGGTGTGTATAGATATTTGTTGGTAAGGGTGGGAGAGGAGCAGGGCGAAAAGTAGAACTTCTTTGTCTACGTATATATTGACCAAGAAAAAAAAAATGAAGCTTTATTAATGTTTCATCAGACACAGGTTACACATGGGTCTTGAGTTGTCTGAAGAGAAGAGTGGAGGTTGCTTGATGGTGGCCCCCTCGTTCATTTGCTTTCAGAGTTGTTGATAAATGTTGCAGTTCATGCATCCCTGATAGAGGAGACATAATGGTTATATTATGTCCATTATTAGATGACTCCTGACAATATGGGCAAGTGGCTTAAACGTAATTTGTGTTAGGAAGCTGCAGAGTGAAGGTCATATGAATGGCGCAAGCACGTGCTGACGTGATAAGACAGCAGAGCTGAGTCTTCTCTGAATCTTTGTGTGAGCTCTTCCTCAGCTGTTCCCAGGTGTATCCATTAGTGGTCCCTATTGCGATAAGAACCAGAAAACCCAGAATCACAAAACTCAAAAATGACAGCACTGTATTTCTCCCACATGAACACAGGCAGTCTGGGGCTGACTTGAGGGCAACATGGTCATGAAGGACCCAGATTCCTTTCCTCTTTCTGTTCTGGCTGCCTCAACACCAGGCATCTCCCTCTTGCTGCAAGGTGGCTGCTTAGATTTCAGCGATCACATCTGGATTCCATCTAGGTCAGAGGAAAGGGAGCAGAAGAGATTCCCTTCCTCTTAAGGCTATTCATTGTTTCTACTTACATCCTAGTGATCCAAACTTAGTTTTAAGGTGCTGGGTAGCTGTAAGGGGGAAGAGACTGGAAAATGTCCTCTTTGCTCTGGGTAGTCATGTGTCCTCTGAGTTTCTGATAGAGAGGAAGAAGGAGAGAGTGGATACTAGGAACGTAGGGAAGATGTTCCCATTGGGATAAAAATAACTTCAGGAAATCTGACCGGAAGCCATCCCTGCTCCATAGAAATTATAAAGCAGGTTATTTGAAATAAGGATTTGCTCTGTCACTGACAATGACCTTTATGAAGTTCTTTTCCTGCAACATTCGTAAGCAAGTTATCGAGCGCGCTGTTGAAGAAGAGCAAAGGAGTTAAAGCCAGAAGTAGACAGAATGCCATAGGATGCTGTTTCTTAGTTGATTCTAGAACAGCAAGACCTTTGAAATATGGTAGCATCTTTGTATACACTTGGTGATGAGATGAGTAATGAGCGTCAATGTATTTCTTCCTCATGGAAGGAAAGAATAGAGAATTGTTACTGCATTTTTCTTTTAACAAAAGACAAGTGTCCATATTTGCTGACCTTTATGTGTTAAACAGTTTCAGTAGGTGTAACCTCATAGTTCAAGTGTATTTTTGAAAAATACACTTAACTACAGCCCTTCCCTATAGAAGCAGTGTTTTAAGAATGTGTGAGAAACTACTCAAAAGAAATCTGTGCTTCCAGGAGAGCATTTTTGAAAATGAATGTTTGGAAATGTGATTCTATTTTAAAAAGTGATATATGACACTTATTAAAACCCTTCACATCTGCATGTTCAATAAGTTGAAAGTGGAATGTCCTAACCCAGTGGAAAAAAATCTAATAAAGTTTCAGTGGTTTTAGAACACAATTCCTAAAGATATAAAAATTCTTTAATAAGATAATTAAATAATAATATATAAATAATTATATATTTAAATAATAAATAAATAATTAAAATAACTTGAATAAGCTTTCAAGAGAGACTAATATCAGGATAGATAGACATATACTAGCTGAATTTCAGTTAGCAATAACAATAAAATAATAATTTTTAAAAACCCTTAAAACACCCCTGAACCTTTTCCTTATTGGAGGATGGAATTATAAATCAAGATACTCAGTGTCATGAGGCCCTTTTCCCACTTAGGTCCACATATCTTCATGAGGTATCTTTGACAGCCATTAAAACCAAGTATTAAAACAAATTGCTCAATCACAAAGGATTAAGTTGAGATGTTTGGAAATTATAAAGTATATTAAATCACATTTTATTAGTATTATTAATAATTTCTAGTGATAGCAAAAATCATTTGCCATTAAATAAATAAAATATTTTTATCTTTAATTCTTTAGAATTTCTATATTATGCCTTATAATGTATATACTATATTAATATAGCAGCATGTGTGCATATAACCTGTAAATAAACATATGAAAGGCCCACAAATCTTATACTCCATAGGATTTCTCTACTTCCTGCCTGCCCAGATTAGACCTACCTTTCAAGGTCCTGCATGATAAAATTTTCTTTTTCTTTACATTGAACAGTCTTGTCTCCTTTTGCTTAAGTTTGATAGTATGTACGGTTGTATTTTTTTTCACTTCATAAACAAAAATGCAGTGTTTAGGATTATCTTCATAAGATACACAACACAAGCTCTTTGAGTTTATGAGCTTATTCACAACTTCCAGTGTCCCCAGCTTGGTGCCTCATGCATTGTACTTACTTAATAAATAATTGTTGGTTCATTGTTACTTACTCTGAATGTCCAGTGACAGTGAAATTCTCACTTTCAGGGTTTTTTATGGTTTAATTTATTTCTTCTAAACTAGGAAAAAGTACTTTAAAATGCAATCAGGAGCTTTATAACCACATGTGGCTTTGCCTTCCATTTTTCTCTTTTTGCATGTGGTTTTCGTGAATCAATCTCTGATGGCCTCTCTCTGCTTTATTTTGGGGTTGCTTGTGATTCACAATTTAGCATCAGCTGTTATCAAGGAGCTGGCTTCATGTTCTTTCCTGACTTTGCCCACCATTAGCACCCTGTGGTATTTCTGGCAGGCCTTTTTCTCTGTGTGGGTATATTTACTTCTCCATGCCTAGGAGCTTTCTCCATCTCATTGTAAGCACTAAGATTTGCACTTTCCCACCACCTGTCAATTGGCAAAAAGCTCTGGGAAGCTTCTGCTTTCCAGCCATTAAATGAAATGTGGATGTGCATAAGGCCCACTCCCTGGTCGACCCACTGTCTGAGGTTCTGAATACGCAGGCAGATTGCCAGATACTAATGTAATGTGGAAATATCGAGGCACCAAAACGCTCTCTAATAAGGACTGGAGACATTTAAAGTTATATCTGATATTTTTGGTGTAAGAATCTCACTCTTCATATTACGTGGGGAAGGTCAAAAAACAAAGAGCCTCTAACTCTCCTCTTCTGGATATTAAAAATTGGTTGACAATAAGAGAATCATGACTTGTTGATGAATATGTCTTCAATGTCAGAGTTTCAGTGGGGGTAGGGGTTTAGGGAGTGATGGACATTTTCTTGGCAGAAAGATCATATATGTCTCATGTCACGGCCATTATAGAGGGAAGGGTTGTCATCAACTTGGGTAGAATGAACTAACAGACTCTTCTGTTATGCTGATTGGAAGAGAATCTTACAGAGCCAAGGGGCCTAAAGGAAAGTGATTTAAAATAGCATTTACTTTTCAGGGCGCCTGGGTGGCTCAGTTGGTTAGTAAGCATCCAACTCTTGGTTTCGGCTCAGGTCATGATCTCAGGGCTGTGAGATTGAGCCCCATGTTGAGCTCCGCGCTCAGTGTGGAGTCTGCTCGGGATTCTCTCTCCTTCTTCCTCTGCCCCTCCTCTCTCTTTCTCTCTCAAATAAATAAATAAATAGAATCTGTTTTTTCAAAAAAGATAGCACTTATTTTTCAATTTGTTCTCACCTCTTTTGAAGTAATATCGCTCACTGTGTTCTTTGGCTTTCTGTAACTCCTTTCGGCCGGTAGCACACTTGTTGCACATCATTTTCTCGGACAAGAAAAGATTTCCCAGTCATTATCTTGTGCATCAGAATGGTTCTCTTATAAATGTAGTCATGTGACCTCAAGAAGAGCACAGCTATTATAGTGAGTACCTACTGTGATGAATGTGATTATTGATCCAGAATTATCTACATGCTTCTGTGTATAGAAAAGTATTTTTTTTTAAAAGCCTAGAAATCATATCTCATTCTTTGTAATCATACACAGATAGCTGTTACAAGCTATACCTGGTTGTGTAAGTATGAAGGCCAAAGAAAAAGATTTCTTGAATTTTCAATTTTCATCTTACAAATTTTTGTATCTTCTTCGCTATGGTAATGCCTTAGTTTTTATTTCACTTTTTTGTTCCCAAAACTGTATTGTCAGAGATTTCCTTTTCTGATTATCCTCTTGCATGTGGTTCCTGAATGGGCAGTATCAATGTGTGTAAGTGTCCAAGCTGACCTCAGAATTTTATTTCTTTGGGGATTTCACATATAACATATTGAATAAAACTGTACTTTAAAAATCCAGCTATAGAAATATATGCTAGTCATTTTAAGAAAATGGCAGTTTTTCAGAGGGTTTTTAATTGATTTTGTACTGTGGACAAAAATTATACCTTGCATTTGAAGATTGTCCTTTTACCAATATAAACTTTAGAATTGGTGACATAGGAGTTGAAGCTCAGCAACTGGACCGAAAACAAGTAGAGAAGAGTGATGACCTCATTATGTAGATTTTCAAATAGAATGTGTTATTTTGGTTTCTTCAGTTCAGCTCACTTGTTAATATTATCAAGGATATATTATTTGATTGGAAGGAACATTTCATTTCTTTTACATTTAGGATGCTCATATTTTGTAGTCCTGTTTGATGTAAAACCCATCCAGATGCAAATTCTATTCACCTTCAAGGCCCAGCTGTTAAGACCTTTCTTATCCCGACAGCTGGCCCTACCCTACACCCTACCAATCACCTTGCTACCCTCAAAAGGAAATTGTCTTCACCTTCTGCTTTAAACTCCTAATCTGTCATAAGTATCTTTCTTCTTTATACTTATTCATAGTTATGTGTATACAC